GAGATGCAGGGGCCCTCATCTGTTGGCGTCGGGAGGAATAACGACGGACATCTGGATCTGGCTGTTCTCCTCGTCCCTCTTCCTCCTCCCCTCCTCTCCTCCTCCTCCTCCTCCTCCTCCCTCCCTCCCTCCCTCCCCCTCCCTCCCTCCCTCCCTCCCTTCCCTATCCTTCACTGTTGGTTCATCTGGTGGTCCGTTTGATCACCCTGATGACTGACGATTCTCTTTTTTCTCGTCGCTTGCTCTTGGCCGATTTCTTGGTGAGCGCGCTCCTCCTCCGTACTTCCCATGTTTCTACTCATCCTCATCGCTCTCTCCTTCCCAGCCATCGTTCTCCGCCGGATCTCCTCATCCGCCTCCCCTCCTCAACGCCCTCCTTTCTCTCCTGCCATCCTCCTCCTGTGCAGTGCCCCTCCCTCGGTGCTTGGAGCTTTCTGCGGTGGTCAGGCGGGCGATCGGCCCGCGGCGGGTGCGGAGCCGCGGCGGCCCGCTTCCCCGCGCCTGACTGGTAAGCAGTGTGCCCAGGAGGCTGCAGATTGGTATTCCCCAAACGTGGTGGTGACAACACCTGGCGGTGAGTCTCGGGCGATTTGATGTCACCACCCGGTTTGGGGACTCGTGCGGTTTCCCGAGGATGTCCCGGACACTGGTGGGTCCAGGAGTCACAAAACCCGGTGGTGACCCCGCGTCCCCAAACCCAGCGGTGACCTTTTTGGGGATTCCAGGTCGCCACCTGGTACCTCACCACCCGGTTTCGGGGTTCCCAAGCAGACCCTGGAGGACGCCTGACCTGCTGAGGGCGGCGGTGATATACATGTGTGTGGAAGTCGACGAATGCAGAGGAAGCGTGCTGCCAAACAATTTCCAGACGTCGAAACGATGTTTCAAACATGTTTTAATGTGCTAAAAATATGTTTAAAACGTGTTTATGACATGTTTACACATGTTAAGCGCATCTTTAAATCAATGATGGGACGGGCTGTTAGAGTGTCCATTGTCATGGCATCCGCAGATACACATGGCCACGCCTCAGTTGGTGTTCCGCCCGCTCTGCGACCCTGGATCCAGGGCCCCAAGGGCGCCCTCGAGGACGCGACGTTTTCCCCGCTTCGCGCTTCGCGGTACGGCTCCGATCCCTCCTCATCCTCCTCGTTTTCCCTGGGGGGCAGCGCGAGAGCGCGAAGCTATTCGCGCTTCGCGCTTTGCGCAGCGCGAAGCGCCAAGGTAGCGCCATTGGTGCCCTCACCGTGCAGTCGACCTGCATAGTAGGGACGAGCAACTCTGCAGCGGCACCCTAGCATCCTTCCCCGTCGTCCCATCCTTTGTCGCTTTCGCTGGCCGCGCCCCGCCCCCAACGCGTCGGCACGACCCTCCAGGGGCCTTGCATCCTAGCATCGATATATCCCGAGCGTCCTAACATCGATCTCAGGCGAAGCGCGAGTCAGATACCCTGACATGGATATCACCGGGAAGAAGTGGATCATCCCGCCTGGACCCCGAATTTTAGTGTCCCCAGGGGATTATTGGAGAGGCCTGACGGCCGGTGCCGCCGACCCTGATCGAAAGGGCTAGGGGTGGGGGGGGGAAGCGGAGGATGAGGAGGATGAGGAGGATGAGGAGGAGGAGGAGGAGGAGGAGGAGGAGGAGGAGGAGGAGGAGGAGCAGCAGGAGGAGGAGTGTCCCCAGGGGATTCTTCTCACCCGGTTAGGCTTGCGCGGCGGCGGCGCGCGCCTGCCGCAACGTGGTGGTGGCTGCGGAGCTCTCCGCGGGGCGGCGCGCGCGCGCGCGCGCTGCACGACGCGCGGGAGCACTCCCTGCGTCGGCGGCGAGGCAGGGGCCCTCTGGCGCCGGCGGAACGGCCCGAGCTTGGGCGCCCTTCGGGGGTGGACAGAACCCCCAACAGTGACACATCGATTAGTGAATTGTCCGTTTTCGGTTCTCGAGAGGGCGCCGTGGCCGTTATTTTCCAGGCTTGCGCCCGCCAGGTTTGGGCCTCAGGTCGTTTTCACTAAACCACGTTTTACTAAAGGGGGGTCTGTCCATCCCCGTGCCCTCGGGGCAGACTGCGCCGCCATGCAGGAGGGGGGCGGGGGCGGAGGGCGCGGCCGAGAGAGGGGGGCGGAGGCAGCCAGCCGCCCAGGGGGACGTGATCGAGCGAGCCGCTGCGGCTCGCTCCCCCCCCCACCCAGGGGCCGCTGCATGCTCGCCCCCTCGCGAGAGGGAGCACACGCCACGGCCGGCGGCGCGGCCGCGCGCTGCGCCGACGCCCTCTTTTCAGGAGGGGAAAAAACATACAGACACAACTTATCGTCGATCTCCCAGAAAATAGGGAAAAATATGGGAAGTGGGGGGGAAGACAAAAACACAGAAAATACAGGAAAATATAGGGAATCTTTTTATTTGTGTGTATTTAGTGGTGTGTCCTGGGGCCCCTTCCTCTTTGCCCTCTGGGCGCTCGGCCGCCGCCCGGCGCCTGGCCGCTGCCGCGCGCCTCGGCCTCCGCCCCGCGCGGCCGGCCGCCCGCAAACCCCGGGCACGCCGCCTCTGCCTGGGCGGCGGCCTCCGACAGGGGCCGCGCGGCCCCCTGGGCCGCTCGCCGCCCCGCCCGGGGGCCTCCGCAGCGGGGATCTTGGCATCGCTCGGACGTGTGCGGGTTCTTTGGGTTCATAATCGTACTTATTATTCTTATTCTTATTCTTATTCTGATTCTCTATACTGGTGCTTATTGTTATTATTTCTTGTAGTATTCGTATGAGTCGTAGCATCAGTATTCGCATTCGTAGTAGCATTCGTATTCGTACTCGTATTCGTATTCGTATTCGTATTCGTATTCGTATTCGTATTCGTATTCGTATTCGTATTCGTATTCGTATTCGTATTCGTATTAATTTTAGGTTTAGTATTAGTATTAGTATTCGTATTAGTATTAGTACTCGTAGTCGTAGTCGTATTCGCATTCGTATTCGTATTAGTATTCGTAGTCGCATTCGCATTCGTACTCGTATCAGTATTAGTATTAGTATTCGTATTAGTATTAGTATTAGTATTCGCATTCGTATTCGTATTTGTAGTCGTATTAGTATTAGTACCAGTATTCGTTTTAGTATTGATATTAGTTTTCGCATTTGTAGTTGCATTGGTATTGTTATTTTTATTCGTGGTAGTCGTAGTAGTCGTAGTAGTCGTAGTCGTCGTAGTAGTAGTAGTAGTAGTAGTAGTAGTAGTAGTAGTAGTAGTAGTAGTAGTAGTAGTAGTAGTAGTAGTAGTAGTAGTAGTAGTAGTAGTAGTAGTAGCAGTCGTAGTAGTAGTAGTAGTAGTAGTAGTAGTAGCAGTAGTAGCAGTAGTAGTAGTAGTAGTAGTAGTAGTAGTAGTAGTAGTAGTAGTAGTAGTAGTAGTAGTAGGTGTAGTAGTAGGTGTAGTAGTAGTAGTCGTAGTCGTAGTCGTAGTCGTAGTAGTAGTAGTAGTAGTAGTAGTAGTAGTAGTAGTAGTAGGATTAGCATTCGTATTCGCATTCGTATTCGTATTAGTATGAGTATTCGTATCCGTGTTATCATTATTATTATTATCACTTCTACTACTACTACTATTATTATTATGACACTACTATATGTGTGAACATGTTTTAGTTTGTTTTGTTGATTGTTGTTTGGTTTTGCTTTGTACCGGCGAGGTCCATCAAGGAGCACCCCGGGTCGCTCTGCGGGGAAAGAGACAGGCGCGGGGCCTCGGGGCGTGGCGCGGGGAAGGGGGGCGTGACGCGAGCGCTGGCGATGGGGTGTGGCGCACGCTTGTGTGCCGTGCCGCCCGCCTTGCCTTTGCCAGGCGTGCCCACGGCACAGCACACGGTCACAGCTTTAGGGTTGTGGAAATCGATCAATGGAGAGGAGGCGTGCTGCCAAATAGTTTCCAGATGTCTGACAGATGTTTCAAGCATGTTTCAAATATGTTTAAATCGTGTTAGAAACATTGTTAGAACATGTTTTACGCTTAAAAACACATATTTAATTCAATGATCGGACTGTGAGAGTGTCCATTGTCATGGCATCCACAAAGCTTTAGGGGAACGAAGACTGACATAAACACAACAACTCGGAGGTCCGCGCAGATTTCTCGGATCCGCGCTGGACCCCCCCCTCCCTGGCGCGCGGAGCGCGCCAGGAGGCCCCAGCGCCCATCCGCGAAACCCGCGCGGACCTCCGAGTTTTTATGGTTATGCCACTGTCTGTTCCCCTATTTACCAGCCTGGGACACATCCCCGTCCCTCGGTTTGGCGTCGCCCCACCTCGGTGCCGACCCTGGCTCGGGCTTCCCTCAGATGCCGAGTGGGCGCATCTGCCAAATTCAAATGAGACGGCACATGCCAGAGATGCATTGAATACGCCAAGAAGCCAGACATTACCGATTAGACAGTGCCAATCGGATTTCCGCGAGCAGCCACGCGCGAGAGCGCCTAGAGCACTTGTGCTGTCGACAAAGCAAGTGATTTCTGAATCGGGATGGCCGAGCTGCATCACCCAGCGCAGGGCACGCACTGCGGCCACGAGCTCCCGAGTGCCAATCTGCTTTTTCCGCCAGCGGCCATCGACTTTGGGCCCCTCGGCCTGCGGCCTCCGGTGCCCGCTCCCCGAGGGCGAGGCCGCCCCCCGCCAAGGCGCCGCCGGCCGCCCCGCGCGCACGGGCCGCGCTGCTCCTCCCGGCCTGGGCCGGGCCGTGGGGCCTCTGCGCGTCGTCGTCGTCGTCGTCGTCGTCGTCGTCCTCGTCGTCGTCCTCGTCGTCGTCCTCGTCGTCGTCGTCCCCGTCGTCGTCCTCGCCGTCGACAGCCCCGACCCCCCTCTGCGCGTGGCCGACGTGCCTCCGATCCCGCGCGCTCCAGCCCCCGGCCGGTGAGCTGACGATCCGCCGGACGCTGGCTGGCCTTCGCCGCTGCTGTTTCTCCCGGCCTGGGCCCGGCCGGGGGGGCGGCGGGGCCGTCGTTCGGCGCGCGCGCCCGCCTTCGCGAG